ACACACATCACACTGTGGGATTTCAGTATTCAAACTCAAATCTCTGCAATTTGTAGGTCAATTTAAGTGGTTTCTGCTGTGGAGAAACTACAGCCTGAGCCACTTGTGAATGTCCATTGTACCCACTAATACACATGATTTATAATTAATCACAAACTATCCCAACGGTGCCAAATAAGTACATGTTAAACTACAGTTTGAAGGGGAGTGCACTGTACTCGAGGGTTTCCATGTTATACTACCTTAAACATTTACCCCCACCGTATTCCAGAGGGAAACGTTGCACCTTTACAGCGTGGCATTTAGTTGACCTATAGTTACCATTTGCTTTTTTTAATGAACATTTTAGATAAAAAACATAAAATGAGCTGATAAAATACACGTTAAAGATTAAAGACCCCCTCCAGTGAAATCCCTTTACCCTATTACCATGTCCATATGGTGTTTTTTTTTTTTAATATGCTTGAAGACACGTGAGTAAAATAAGCAATTCTATCTCCATCTTGAACCTGCAGTGTGCTGATGACAGCCTCACAGATTTTGGGGGTTTCATATGCAACAAACTTAAGGAACCAGTGGAGGAGGGGCTGGAAACAGAGGTAGGGACTGTGGATATGTGCAGGGGAAGCAATGGTGTGGATTACATCTAAAGTACGCAGGAAAAGATTCAATTTATGAAAAAAAACCCCAAAAAATATGTAACTTTGATACACGGAAATGAGTTTTTAAGGGTTTAATCGACTCTCAACCAGTCGTTCTTGTCTTTTTTGTTTGCTCGTACAAAAGCGTTTCAACGATCTGTGATTTGTCAGCGAAAGAGAAATTTCCCCACTGAACTCCTCAGATGGATTTATTTAAATAAATGTGGCCTATTAGGGTGAAAACAAAACTAAGATGAGGGGGAAAAAAGTCCAAAAAACGTTGTTGCTAGAAAACCTATTCTATTAATCAGCTCAAAGCCCTTGTGGCCCTTTGGAGGGGCTCAACCCCAGGGTTGGGAAACACCGGTCTGAAACAGCAAAAGCAAAGTAGCTGAAAGTCTGTCTACCTCAGCTGCTTACACATGAATACACCAGTGTTATCACGACATATTTTATAATATATGAGTCACAATGGTTATTTTACAATGTTGTCTGCTTTATATACATTAAAAATATTCTTTTTTTTAAACTCGTATGTATGGGGGACAATGACTACATGACCTGTACTTGAGTAAAGGGTGTGAAGGCTCTTCTGCTACTCTGACTTGCTTCTTCTTTACTTTTATTATCTTCTCTTATTCAAACCATCATCAGCAAACATGAAAACACTCCTTTTGGTCAACTGATTATCATCCTCCTCGATGATCAGATCCAGTATTCAGCATTTTTCCGATTGCTGGTACTGTTATTTCCAAATACAATACAATAAATTCCAAAAATGCGACTTATGCTCTGATGCGAGCACCTCTCTCTACCTGGTCCATCCAGAGCGCTATCTGATTAGTTAGAGAAGGTCTCTTTTAATCAAACATATAAAACATAGACCTACAAAGACACATTCACAAGGCTTTGAGTTTGTGTGATTCTTAATTTCGATGCAAAGATTTTCATTTTTACTGCAAATATCGGCTCCAACTATTGGTCACTGCTCTCCTTGGTTACAAACCATCAGCATCAGCCCTAAAACACACCTCTACATTCAAATCCTAACCATTACTACACACTAAGATGCAGATGCCTTCGTCTACAATAACACACACGCTTGTATGAGACTCCACGTCTAACCAACAGGTCACCTGTTTGACAATACGAGTCAGTGGATCCTCCCGTTTCCAAGAATCCACTCTACTTCACATGTTCATTATATTCTGTGCAGCGTGTGGAAATACATCTCTGAAGAGCTCTTCCCTTATTGGACCATGGCCTTAGGGCCTTTGTTATGATTGGATACTTACAGAAGCCAGCCACCCACACCGAGTGTGTCTTTCATTCTAAAGGTCTGCTCCTGCATATTAAACAGTCTGGAGCGTTGCAGCAATCAAATGCAGGAACTCCTTCATCGACATTATCACCCCAGCAAATGCATTAATAACTAAACGAATCCAGCTGCCTGTGACACAGTAAACGCAGCGCGCGCAGCGTCGCCGCACGGGAGAGGTGTGTCTCTGGGAGGGGGTTAAAAGGTGGCTGGGGTGTGGGGTTGAGGCTTGTCACCGTGATGAAGACAGATGATGAGGCTGCATTGCTGTAAACGAGTGAGTCAGCCCTCCCTTCAGACAGACACAGGCCTGCAGGAGGCAGACGAAGGGGGGAGGAGGAGGCGGGACGGAGGGAGGGAGACGGGGGAAATGCATGGGAACTGTCCCCGGTGCTGAAATGTGGAACGGCTGCTTTCTAACAGCTTCAAGTTCAACCCAGTGAGGCATGCTGTCTTTCAATACCTGACCCACATCTGAAACAAGCTCCGTCACCAGCCTCGGTGTAACAGGTCAGTACCTGGCCGACCCTCGGATGCAGAGAAGATGAAATGGTGCATTTGTCACACCTAACAGTTTTCAAACACCACAGCAGGGGGAGTGTAATATTTGCCTGAACAAAAGCTTAGAGGCTGTTGAGTTTTTTTTTCCACACAGATTCCGTCCCAAGTCACTTATTTGGCATTCTGATCACAAAAGCAGGGGAGGGAGATTCTCCACCATGTAATTCCTTCTGAGCCAAGTCAAAAAGATTCTCATTAAAGTGCTTTTTATATCCCAAACCTCAGTCCCCAGGGACTATTGTATTGGGCTGTCATGCTATTTGTAGACTAATCATCTGCACACACACACACTAGCTCAGAATGTAAAAGAGTCTGGATCAACAGGAATAGGATATTGCACTGCCCCGCTCTCCACCCATATTCTTTGAAATGAGGTTTTTTTTGTTGTTGTTGTTGCATTATTCATCTTTCAAAGCTGTCCTGCATTGTGACTAACCCTCCGTCCATTTACTCAACACCACAGATGCACCATCAGACGGATTCTTGCCCTGCATGCTGCAGACAGCTGACACAAACAGGAATCCAGGGGGCATCTTTAGGAAGCAAATGAGGGGCTACGGCTGCAGAAGATACCGAGAGAATGCAAACTTCACCATCACCTTGTTTAACTTTGTCACAGCAGCTGAAATGTCTAACTTTAGTCACAGACTTTGCAACTTGTTACCCTGATTTTTTTTTCCTCCTTTGGAACATCAAAGCAGCAGCTTTAATGTTATTCCACTGCATGAGTTTACAAACGATAGCGTCACTGATGGAGGCTCCCTACTTGGAAATACTGTAAATTAAAAAAATAATAAAAAAAATTGGCAACTTGCAACTCAGCCAGTAATTGGCAATTTCTCTCCGTTTGACATGAGAAAAAAAAAAAAGATTATGCAACAGGTTCGGTACTTGCAGAAGCCGCCCCCCTGGGCTGCAAAGATCATTGTTTCAATAAAGAGCATGTTTTAAGACGAGGCCATCAGGAGAATGATGTCACAAGTCCGTAAATAAGGGTCCTTTTCTCGGGCACTGCAGAGACCAGGCGGGTGTGGTGACTGCATTAGTAGACGCGCAATCCCCGGCGCAAAAAAAAAAAAAAAAAGCCGCTCACATAAGACCATGATGTGGACATTACCGTCACGGCTTTCCACCATCACTATGACTACCCTCTACTTGTCGG